TGCCGCACCTTGGCCTGGCCCTCCCTGAAGGCCAGAGGGAGAGCTGGGGCTGCCTAACCCTAGAGAAGGGGGTTGGCAAGCAAAGTGAGCAGGGGAGCACACCCCCTAGTGTATCATTCATCCAGCTTTGTGTTACAAGATAGGCTGTTATATTAGCAGATGACCACATGGTGTCATCATTTATTTTAAAACTTTCCTTGCATAATCTTCCTTTCGATTAGGGCAGAAATAACATTGAGCCAGCTAACATGCATATTATGAGTCAGATTGTCTATTGTCTTGTACAGTGCAGAATTGGTTTTTCATCCCTTTGCACGGGAGTAAATGACTACAGACTGCAAGTTAGTAGAGATTTTGCCCTTTTATCAATATTATACGTAAAAGATGGGGTCAGTGGAACAACTACACTGTTGCATGTTTCTAGCCTGTTTTAAATTAGGGTAATATATCCTTTCATTTTAGTGTTGCCATTATAAGGTGGATCAGTCTACTATGCTCTTTTTTTCAATTTGAATGAAGTTAGAAATTTGCTAACATAATGCTATCCCTAATCTAATACTATTTAAATCAGGGACAAGGAACCTATGATTTGTGTGCTGGATTTGGGCCAGATCAGGACAAGCTGAGGACTATAGTGAGTTTTCCAAGCATTGGTCATCTCTCCCTTTGCCCCCTGTGTGGCTGAAGTGTGGAGAGCTGGTGGCTCTGTGGGTTGTCATTCCCTCTCCTGCCTGGCTGAAGGAATGGCAGCACAGAGAAACTAGTGCAGGATAGCTCTGTCCCTGAGCTTGCCTTCAGGCTCCATCCTATCACTCCCATTGATTGGGAATAGTGGTCAAGGGGAATGGCAGGGAGTGGTCCCTGCAAGCACTGGACAGCGCAGAGCTGTCTATGGCTCCACACTGCCCTGTGCTTGCAGGCACCACCTCCTGCTAGGTAAGTGCCCCAGTCCCCTGCTCCCTCCTGCATTCAGCCTCCCTCCCAGCTTCCCCTCCCCCATCTCCAGCCTGCTCCTGCACCTACCTCCTCTCCAGACCCTATACTGCTACCTGGCTCCCCGGTAGACTGCTCTCCACACTGATCCTCTCATTTTTGGCCCCACCCCAGAGCCTAGGGAGACCCTGCAAAATTGTCTCACCCTAGGCCCCAGAAGAGTTAATCCAGCCCTAGGGGGTAGTCCCATGTCGTGTGAGTGAGGAGAATGTCTTTTTTCCCCTCTGCTTCTCAGATGGGGGGCTACATCAATGATGGGGTTTGTTTTGGTTTGTTTTGCTTCTAACTTGGCCTTTACATCGGGGTGGGGAGCCTTTTTTGATTTAAAGTAGTTGGTTTGACTTAACCTATAAAAATGACACACATTTTAGTCTAATAGTTTTATGTATATTTGGTTTATAACCTAGAGTGGGTGTTGGCAAATAATGGCCCACGGACTGGATTCGGTCCGCCAGGGTTGGTCTCGGGATCGCCATATGTGGCCACTGGGAACAGCAGGAGTGATGTCCCTGTCTGCTGCTTCCTGCTACTCCCCATCATTCCCATTGCCCTTGAACAGCGATTTGTGGCAGATGAGAGCTATGATTGCCTGATACCTGCAGAGGTGCAAGTAAACATAGCAGCAGCAGCCCACCAGGTACCAATGCTGGTGGGCAACCACTTTTTTTGAGTTAGAGGGCAATGATTTTTTGGTCTACAGTCTAGAATAATTTAAAAGTTAAGTACTCTGTAGCCTGTGCGTTCCCAAACTGGCGGCATGCCCCCCTGGAGGGGTGTGAAGAAATTCCAGGGGGGAGGTGAGGTGACCCCAGGCGCCCCTCCCCCCGTCAATACCCCACCTCTAAGCTTTGCTGTTACTTTTGTTTTTCAGACCAGTCAGTTTCTTTTGTTGTTCTGTGCAGGGGCGGGGGGGGGGGGGGTGTTAGGTAATAGTATCAGTTTTGCTAAGTGTTGGATGGTGTGCTGATTGACAATATTGCAAAGTCTTCTGAAAGCCTGGGTTCCCTTTAGTTTTCTGTCTGATCTTTCTTAATCCAGGGAAGGCCAAGACTAACAGGGGTTAAGAAAAAAGCAAACCCTAAACCAAAAACTGTAGATATATTCATGGAGGATAGTCTCAGAGGGGTAGCCATGTTAGTCTTTAACTTCAAAAACAAGAAGTCTTGTGGCACTTTAGAGACTAACAAATATATATATAGTATCCTGAGCTTTTGTGGAGGATAACTCCAGCAGTGACTTTTGCCTGGGATGGGCAGGGATGGTGTCCCTACCCTCTGTTAGGGCTGGAAATGGGTGATGGGATGGATTGCTTGATGATAACCTGTTCTGTTAATTCCTTCTGGGGCACCTGGCATTGGCCACTGTCAGACAGGATACCAGACTAGATGGATCTTTGTTCTGACTCAGTCTGGCTGTACTTATGTTCTTAACCAGCTAGTTAAGATAGTATTACTCAGGTATGTAAAGATATTGACAGTCTTAGTTTAAATAATTAGTGATGACATTTGGTTGGTTAGAAGAGGACTTGTTTTTCCAAACTGCTAATGAGTTAAAACTATTTAGTTGCATTGGAGAACCTACCTGAAAGCATAAGCTGTAGATGACTTTCACTATGGCTAAGTAGTGCACAACCATCCAAAAAAAGGCTTCACAGGAGAGTTCCTAGAGAATTTTAATCTTTGCAATAAGACTTTAGAAATTGAAGTTTTCTAGCTGTTCCCTACCTTACTTAGATGCCCTTTGTGAGGTCATTGCATAATTCAAAACAGGTGGAAAGAAGAAACCAAAATAGGGCAGTGCCAGCACAGTCTTGCTTTTCCCCATTATATATGGAAATTTGTTTAAAAGGTCACTAGCTGAGAGAACTAGGTCAATCATGTCTTCGTGAAATTGATATATTATGTTGGCAGATTTGGTGCGGCAGGCATACTTTTTCTAGAATTTTCCAGAGGCAATTTCTGCTCATAGTTTTGAATGCTCTGTTTAGACCCCCTAAAGACTGCGCACAGTTCATTGTGTTGTGTGGCCCATGAGATGTTTTGTTTACCATTGCCCATGCACAGAGTTGCCAGATTCTGCTGGTGTTTATGTAATTTTCACTCTACCTTTATTGCTAAAGTGATATGCACTTCATAAAGCAAGGGCATATGAAGTGATTGTACATAACCTTGTGAGAGCCATGCGTTCCCTCTGAAGCCAATCAAATCACTACTGTGGTTCAGTTGGCACACCCTTCATATTCTAGGTACGCCAGCACAGTTAGCAAACCTATCCTATCACAGGAGACCATCTTGGTTACAACAATCTTGCGTCCCCGAGATTGAAGGCCACTCATGCAGCTCACTTGCTAGCGTAGATTGCCTCTCGCTGATGTAGATAGTTGACAGTATTTAGGCCTGCGAGTTTTAAAGATGTCATCTGGTATGTCGTCTTTGCTAAGTGATTTACCTGACTTCGTTTGCTCAGTTCCTTTAACACCTGTTAGTTGACAGTAAAAGGAGGTTGAATGGCTTATTGGAGTGCTGTACTCGTCCTTTCAGAGATCCTTCATTTGTCATTAAGGTAGATCCACCTGAATTCTTCAGTGGAGCTGGTTCAGATTTTGATGGGCCATAAATAGCTTTCAGGGAATCATAAAATAATGTTGTTTTAGTATTGACATAATACGGTGTTTCTTCTGCTTTCTTTTCCCACCAGTTCTCCTGTAAGAACGATGCAGTCTTTAACCCTTGGCTTGCAGGTACTTGAATTTATCTTTCTTTGATGTTGATTTTTTGTCATTTTGCTAAGACGCAAACACATCATTCTTTTGCTTGATAATCTTTTTTGAACCGATCCTGCAGTAGTCTTTGATTTAGGACTGGAGTTTCTTCTGAGACTTGAAGAATGGCCAATTTGAATATATTCCACTTTTAGAATACACTTTTACGTGATGCTGTAATGCTATCAAACTTTTCCTCTAAGTCTTCCTTTAGTTTTTCATGAAGAAATGGATGTCTCAGCTTTACTACATTCAATTTTAGACTTAATGCCTTCAGCCAAGGGGTAGCAGCGTGTAATTTAAAAATGTCTCTGATCATTGTGTGGTGAGTCCAGCTGTTTGCCTCTTCCATTGCTGCGGTGATATTAGTGTCCCTTTGTCATATAATGATAGTCATTCAGGTGCCAATGCTTTGATTTCAGATGTATCCAAGAGGTTTCATATTTGTCTGTTTGCTTAAATACTGTGTTGGTAATAGAGCTCAAGCTCAGCACACTTGCTGAAGTAGAAGACCATCGCTGTTCATTTTCCAACTCCATTGGTCTTTATTATACTGTTCCAACCCTCACTATCTTTCTTCCGGCTCTGATATTAGTCTCCCACAGGTAAATCTTTCAGTGACTTCAGAAAGCTGTTTCTAATGGCAAAATAAATGCCTTACATCCTTTCTTCCTCTGCTGTTTTTGAAAGAAGGTTAACCTCCTCCTAGTTTAGTGATTACCCAGACTTTCAATGGTTATGTTCCCCCATTTCCCCGGAGAAGAGAGCAGGGATGTGTCTTGCGGGGGAGAGAGAAACACAGGCAGAGGTAAGGGGGTTGAGGCTGGGAGCTGGTCTGGGCCCCAGATTAGTGCTAAGGCTGGGGGTGGGAGCAGAGCTGCAAATAGGCTGCAGTGGGGATCAGCAATCATACCTGTGGCCAGGGAATGCAGTCATGTCTAGTGGTTAATGCTGGGGATTGGCACGGGGCCAGGAGTGAAGCCACATAGAAGCTCACAACAGGGCCAAAGTGTAGTGTTAGGTGATAGAAGTGGGACTGGAGCAGAAATGGAGGCAGGGAGGAGTGAGTGCCCCCCCTCCCCAAAGTTTCTCTGCCCTTCTATGGGGGGAGGGTGCTTACACATGGGGACCTCTGTTCGAATCCTTTCTGGAGCCGCCTTTTGCAAGTTTTGTTTTGCCGATGTCACTATATTAATGCTGCCTCTTGTAAGTTCCCTTGAAATTTATACTATATGCCTCTCAAGTCTTGATGAGTTACCATTTATCCATTAGTGTGCATGTTCGATATCTCCACAATGGAGCCTTTGTTTTACTTGCAGAATGACAACATTTATGGATGATCCACCAGATGTGGTAATCTGTACAGAATGAAGTTAGACAATATTATGGCATTTTTGCTAACCCCTTCCATCGGAACATAGGCCTATTATTACTAGATCATCTTGCTTCTTTTTAAATATTGGCACATAATGAGCTGTCTTTCAGCCTACTAGAACTTCCTTGGTATGTTAACTTACTGAAAATCATCATTACCAAATCCAGAGAACTCTTCCACCAGCTTTTAAAACCTTTGGATGTAGGTTGTATGGAATTGCTGATTTTAAAATGTCTAATTTTATTAGCTGTTGTTTAACATCCTCTTGAAACACAAAATGTTTTTTTTTTTAAATAGCTGTCTTCACTTACTACTTAAATCAGGTTTGTTTGTTTTTTAAAAAAACTATTATGGCTTTCTTCTTTGGGGTTGTGGCTTTTGGGCATCTAGACAAGTATTCTTAAACCATTCCAGACCCGGGCATGTTGAAGATAAGACTTTTTTCTTACCAAAGGTGTCTCGATTCCCATCAAGAGAGAGGGATTTCCTCAACTTGGTTTAGTCCACCAGACAGTGGTGCCCTAGGATGAGAGGAGTCGTGGTTAAAGATATATTTAACTAATTACTCATCTCATTCTTATGTTACTACCGCTTTTAGTTTAAAAAGAGAATTTCTTTCAATTTTGAAGCGACTACCTGTTCTTGCAGAAAAAAGTATAAGGGATTTCTCTTAAATTAGGCAGACTTTCAAAATAGAGATTTTAAAAATGTCACTTTTGATATCTACTTATAGTAGAACCTCCAGAGTTTTGAGCAACTCGGGAATGGGTGTTTATAACTCTGAACAAATGTTGTTGTGAACTTTTGAAAGAACCACAAAGGACCATTGTGTTAATTCAGTTTAGAAAAATTCTGCTTTTAACTAGGGATGTAGGTGACTAGTCGACCACCCAATAAGCCTAGGCTTATCGTGTAGTTGAGTCACTACTTGACTAGTCATTTCCCTTGCTTCCCCCTTGCTATCTCTGAGGCAGTTTCCCCCAGCATTGACTCTGCGGGGAGGCAGGGCAGGGGGAGGCAGAGGCACAGCAGGGAAACAGTCCCCGCATGCACCGGTCCTGACTGCTGCACCTATGCCTTTTAAATGCAGCAAGAGCCCTGCTGGCTTTTATTACATTTAAAACGTAGAGGCACAGTGAGGATAGCAAGTGCGCCCTCCCCATCAACTACTCAATTAGCTGATTAATCAAAATTTAACATCCGTGCTGTTAACCATCTTAACTGAAGTGAAACAAGCACAAAAATAGTTTCCTTACCTTGTCAAACTTTTTAAAACTTTCTCTTTATTTGTAATAGCTTACAGTACATTATTGTATTAAATATATTTGATTTTTTTGCATGTCTTCTGCTTCTTGATTGCTTATTTCCCGTTCCAGATGAGGTGTTTAGTTGACCAGTTTATAACTCTGTTGCTCATAACTTTGAGTTTCTACTGTATCTCCTTAGTATAAATGGGGATCTGGAAGCAGAGAGGTTAGTTGATTCTTCAAGAACCCAATATTTAGATTCTGTGATGATGGCACATGTAATGAATAATGACTCTCCATTTACCCTGGTCTGGTAAGGATGTGTGTTATAATCTGTTAGCACATGATGGATTCCACATCCACACAGAAGTATTCCCTGATGAAATTTTTATGACCTCTTTTTATTTATAAATGTACATAGATTACCTAAATCCTCAAAGACAGTAATTCAGTTAATCTGCATGGTATGTGGTCTTAGAAATGCATTTTTTAAAGTAATTAGAAATCATACATCACTGGGAGTCAAAGATGATTAACTTTGTTTTGAGAAATCGTGGCTTAAGTTTCAATTCTGAAGTAGAAAAATGACTTCAGTCAGTAAAGAGAAGGTGTTAAAAGACTTACCTGATATGCATCAAGATAAGCTGGAATGGACTGGCAAGCTTTGCACAAGCACGTGATGCTGTGTTCATGGTCCAGGCAATTTAAAGCTGGAAGAGGCTGTCTTTCTACTCCTATTTGAAAGACCCTTTCCATATTAGTAGGGCTGTGTCTAGACTGGCCAGTTTTTCCAGAACATCAGCCGCTTTTCCGGAAAAACTTGCCAGCTGTCCACACTGGCCGCTTGAATTTCCTCAAAAGCACTGATGATCTCATGTAAGATTGTGAGTGTTCTTGTGGAAATACTGTGCTGCTCCCATTCGGGCAAAAGTCCTTTTGCGCAAAACTTTTGCGCAAAAGGGCCAGTGTAGACAGCTCAGATTTGTTTTCTGCAAAAAAGCCCCGATCGCGAAAATGGCGATCGGGGCTTTTTTGCGGAAAAGCACGTCTACATCGGCACGGACGCTTTTCCGCAAAAAGTGCTTTTGCGGAAAAGCGTCTGTGCCAATTTAGGTACTCTTTTCCGCAAATGCTTTTAAAAGGAAAACTTTTCCATTAAAAGCATTTGCGGAAAATCATGCCAGTCTATACGTAGCCTAGCAGTTTTGAATGAGAGAAAGGGAGTGAGCCAAGGCTTTGTTTCAATTTAGTATGCATCTTGGAAGGTGGAGAGTGAGAGGATCCCATTTGCAGATTGCTCATAACAGGTGGAATACAGCATTTCAGTGGTGTCCAAGTAAAGATTTTTATATTGTGGCTCATTCTGTTTTTCTCTTGTTAGTTAAAAAAACAAGAAAAGGAAATTCCATCCAAACTGATACAAAGAATATCGAGGTGGTATTTGTTAAGCAATGTACAATTTCATTAATAGTTTTGGCCTGGATCCAAGCTCTAGTCTCCAAAAACATGCCCCATAAAATATGGTGGTGTTTATATATTTGTATGGGCAAAAAAGAAATGAGCGCTTGTTCAAATTTGTAGATGTCTTTTTAGAGGTCCTTTGAAAATGTGGCCATGTGTGCTGCAGTTTCTAGCAAGCTGGGTGAGTGAGGAATGCATTGAAAGTGTTAGCTAGTACTTACTTTGAATTATGATTTTAATGTAGGCAGGACTACATTTGTGCATATGTATGTTTAAGTATTTTTGTCATAAAAGATCTCATTTTTAATGTTCTGAATATCTTTCATTGCAGGCTGAGTATGTCCAACTTGTTACTGAACTTCGAATGACAAGAGCCATTCAGCCTCAGATCAATGCTTTTTTGCAAGGATTTCATATGTTCATACCACCTTCTCTTATACAGCTTTTTGATGAATATGAACTGGTAAGCAGCAGTGCCGACATTTGTAACTGACAGCAGTCAGCACTTCATTCCAGCAGAGGCAGAAGTAAAGCTGTTGTTGTGGGTTTTTTTTAAGAGGATTGATATCCATGCTTTTGGTTTTCACGTCTATAGATCTGCTCTGAATCTTCTGTTCTCATTCACTCTAATTACTTCAGGGCAGGGCTGGGAAAAATATGGCCTGGGTGCCAGATCCAGCCCATGGGGCACCCTGCAAGGATCCTCAGGCATGCAGCTGTTGCAGATTAAAGTGCAGTCCCTATGCTACTCTGCTCTGCAGGAAGGGGGGAACTTTGTGTGATAATCTCCCCCTCCCCCAGCCCAATGCTCAGCTCCTATTGGCCAGAAACTGGCCAATAAGAACTGATCTCAGCCAGTTTCTCAGTTCCTATTGGCTGGAAACAGCCAGCCAATCAGAGCTCAGAGATTGGCCAGGAGATGGGGGTAGGGCACGCCTCTTCCCAACCTGGAGCTGATAGTGACATGGAGGGAACAGACTGTATTTTCAAGCGGTCTGGGGTTGCAGGAGGCAGGGAGTCCAGCTTGTCTTGGGGTGCTGCAGGCCGGAAGAAGCTTAGGTAAGTGTCTCCTGGCCAGAGCCTGCCTCTGGCTCCCCTGCCTCTACTCCTCCCATGCTCCAACTCTCTCGCCCATCCAAGCCCTCTGCATCCCCTTGCCCCAGGTCACAATACCCTCTGACCCCAAACTCCCTGTCAGACATCACACTGTCTCCTGCTCCCCAGTCCCCTACCCCAGGCTCCCTGCTGCGCCCAACCTCTGTCCCTTGACCACTTTCCAAATCTTGGAGTGGCTCCCCCGTCAAAAATGATTGCCCACTCCTGCTTTAGGGTGAACATTTTCCTGATAGATATTGCATTTTATATTAAGGTTGAGTTCTGGTGGTGTAGTTCAGTGTAGACTTCCTTGGCAGCTCTCATGCATTAAATTATTCCCCTTAGAATTAGGGATGTAAAAGAGTAGCCCAATAGTTGACTGCCCAATAACCCTAGGTTTATTGGGTAGTTGAGTTGACTACTAGCATTCTCCCATCCTTGCTGCTTCTATCAGGCTGAGCGGGTGCGGGGGGTTCTGGCTTAAAAGGGGAGTGAGGCAGGGGAGAGGATGGGCAGGAGAGGTAGAGGTGCAGCACATGACCTGGCACAAGCTGAAATGGAAACAGTCCCGGCATGTGCAGCGTCCCAGACCACCTCCCGATGCAGCTCTGCAATTCAAGTGTAGTAGGGGTCAAGATGCTTGCATGCCGACTCCTACTACATTTAAACTGCAGAGCAGCAGGGGCCCGTAATCAGTTAATCATGTCCGATATTTAACATCCTTACTTAGAATCTATTTTATTAAAAGATAATCTGGTGGCTATACAACAATGCTTTTATCTACTTTGACACTATATTTTGACTTGTACCTTCATATCTAAAATATTGAATTGTCATAGTTTGGAACTAATGAGTTGATAGGGTACCCTTTCTCATTGTCTCAGCATAAGTTGATCCTCTGACTCAATGGATTTTTGGCATCCCTGTACTGAGAACAACCTGTTTAGGAAGATGCCAGTTTTTCTTCTGTCTCACAGTAGATTAGATCAGATATGATTTTGGATTATCTCAGCCAAAAGGGATGAAAGTATGCTTCCCTCTTGCCAGGAGAAAAGGCCAGCTGTGGCACTAGACTTTCCCAGTCAAGGGGAGAGGTGTGTTTGTGTGGGTTGTGGTGTGGTGTTGTGTGTTTTTTTTTTTTTATTTATTTATTTATTTTTTTTGCCAGTCCATTTCTGTGCATTGGAGGCCTGGTGATCTGCAAAGATCCGCCTGGCCTGTGGATGTGGTAGCAGGAACTAATGCTGAGGATAGCTTGGCTCTGTTGGAATTGTGGTACCATTTAATGTACTAGCTTTCTTATTTTCACTATACTTGCTTATTAAAATTAGAAATTTTATTACGACTTACAGTTTGAATTAAATAATACACAAAGGTTTGCCTGTCCTTTTATAATTTTATAATACAAGATCCTTGAGATTCCTACACTAAGGGTACGTCTAAACTACATGGCTCCGTCGACGGAGCCATGTAGATTTGTTTGTTCGGCAAAGGGAAATGAAGCCACGATTTAAATAATTGCGGCTTCATTTAAATTTATATGGCTGCCGCGCTGAGCCAACAAACAGCTTATCAGCTGTTTGTCAGCTCAGTGCGCAAGTCTGGACGCTCCACTGCCGACATGAAAGCCCTTTATCGACCTCCCCGGTAAACTTCATACTACGAGGCATAACGGGGAGGTCAATAAAGGGCTTTCAGGTCAGCGCGGGAGCGTCCAGACTAGCGCGCTGAGCTGACAAAAGACTGATCAGCTGTTTGTCGGCTCAGTGCGGCAGCCCTTTAAATTGCAATGAAGCCGCGATTATTTAAATCATGGCTTCATTTCCCTTTGCTGATCAGCCTAATCTACATGGCTCCATCAATGGAGCCATGTAGTTTAGACGCACCCTGTGTGAGTTACACTAGGCACAGAAATACATATGAAAACACATTCTAGACAGGAGGTACAAGAACACCTCAAAACCCACACATTTCTTTTATATATTAGGAATACAGTATAGAAAGCAAACTGAAACACAACAGAAAAGGGGCTTGGATTTCATTCAGGATTCTTTAATTAAGACAACGCTATTTTTCAAAATTAATTGTTTGTCGAGAAGACTAATCAAGATTTGTTTTTCCCCCTGAAGGAGCTGTTGCTGTCTGGTATGCCAGAAATTGATGTGAGTGATTGGATAAAAAATACAGAATACACAAGTGGCTATGAAAGAGAAGACCCTGTTATTCAGGTAAAGTCCTATCTGAATGAATGCAGAATATTGCATTTTAATCCTTCAAAGTTTTTGCCACTTTTGGATGAAAATTTACATTAACCAGAAGTGTTTGTATATCACTTAAGATGGGAATGTGGCATAATAAAATGAGGTATGAATCTGACTCTCAGCTAATTTCCATAATTTAAACCATAAAGTTTGTAAACATGTCCTTATTTGTTCACATCCTTTTTCAATTTAAGTGTTTAATGGGAAATGAAAACTAAACTTCTTTTTTGTTTAGTGGTTCTGGGATGTTGTAGAAGAACTAACTCAGGAAGAGCGAGTGTTGTTGTTACAGTTTGTGACTGGCAGGTGAGAAATATTTCTGTTGGTCTGAAAGTATTACTATACCTTTGAGTCAATTGGGCCACAAATGGAAAGACACATTTCATAACCAAGAACCAGTTTTACTGTTTGTTACCAACAAAAGCACAAATTAGTATTTGTCAACATTTATTTTACTTACAGTTGTTTCTTATTCCTAGACATTATCTCTTGTATTGTTAACTTGCCATCTTTAGCTCCAGTTACTTAGCACGCTTACAGTTGATGTGGCTAGAAGCACACTGTTCTTCTTCAGGTGCTTGTTCACGTCTATTCCAATCAGGTGTGTGCATGCGCACGTGTATGATAGCTGGAAGATTTTTCCCATAGTATCGGTCATGTGGCTCTGAGCACTTCCTGGAGCTATGACTCAATGGAATTTGACAGAGCCTTGCCAACCCTCTACTCCCTCAGTTTCTTATTACCATCAATGGTGGAAGACTGGAACCTCTCATAGCCCAGAGGTGAGCAATAATTTTTGATGGGGATGGCCACTCCTAAGATTTTGATAAATGGTCAAAGGCCACACTTATCTATGGATGGGGTGCAAGGCCTGGGATGGAGGTGGTGCATAAAGGAGTTCAGGATAGGGGACTGCAGTATAGGAGGGGGTGTTGGGGTATGGGAGGGAATTTGAGCGAAGGAGGGGATGCAGGCTTTGGAGAGTGTTCTGGAGTGGATTTTGATTTCAGGGGTGGGAGGACAGGTCAGAGGATTTGAGCTGTAATCTGTGGCAGGGGTAAAGGAGGGGTTTGTGATCTGTAAGGTCTAGGGTAGTCAGCCAAGATCACTCAGTTAGGGTTCATGGCAGGAAATGGGACAGCCAATCCACAAAGCTGGTGGTTGTTGCAATATTTATATTCACCAACTCAGCACAAAACAGATTGTGTATTACCTTACAGGTCAATCAGAAGTCCAAACCACCCAGTTCCCTTTAAAGAAGTCAGCTTTAGGCAACTATCCAGACACCCCAGCCAAATAAAATTCTACCTAGGTCAATTAATATTTCAGACCTTATCCCAAATACACACTTATAGACAATTCTTAATAATTAAACTATGGTTTACTAAAGAAATCAAAATAAGTATTGGTTAAAAGATCAATATGCATACAGACATGATTTTAGTTCTCGAGGCTCGGTTACATAACAGATGGTGATCTTGTAGTCACAAAAGTTTTTAGGTTTAGTCCATGGTTGTAGTCCAAAATCCATGTCCAGGGTGATTTCAGCCTATTACTGGGGTCACAATTCTTATGGTTTTGGTTTCCCCTATATCGGGGAACCTTTTTGGGTCAGGGACCACTGACGCACAGAAAAAGAAAAAGCACAAAAACATCCTCAGTGACTGAGAAGGAGACATTTCCCATGTTTCACTTGCGTAAGAGCCAAAAGAGACCCAGGTTAGCAGATTTTGTGTGTGATAGGAGGAGGGTTGTAGCACCAGTGCTGGCTCCCCAATACTGGAAGGGGAGCCCTGAGCTTCAGGGCCAGATCCAGGCAAGCTGGAGTCCACATCCAGCCACCAGGCCTTAGGTTTCCCACCCCTACCCCATATGAAACCTCAGGCAGACCCGAGACCCTAAGTCAGTGTCCATTAAAGAGGCACCAGCTTTCTTAGGCTCCTTTCTTATGGCTTGCAGCTTTCCCCATGAGCATCCAAGCAGATATGAGATAAAAAGCATCCTGTCCAAAGGGTACTTGGCCTGGGAGACCATAGTAGGCATAATCTTCTCTCTTCCTAACAAGCAATTAACACAAAGAAATTTATCCATTAAACAGTTCATATATAGTTTGTGGTAAATTTGAGAGACACACATAAACAATAACACTCCTTCGAACAAGTTTTATCACAAATATTAACATTACCTTTGATTCAAGATCTGAAGGAATCAGAACAGACAAGGATTATTTGTATACATTACAAGACCTGAGCAAACACCCAACATTCTACTGATATAACAATGCAAGTTTGCATTTCAGAGTTCTATTCTTACCTAATGTAACAGTCCACTTACCATCTAGTGTCTTCCCAATAAGTCTTTAAAGGTCAACTCTAGGTTGTCATCCTATGAGCTGGTTAATTTATTTTGTGCCCTGTTTGAATCAGAAACCTAAAATTTTAATCTGATAAGGTCACAGGGGTGCAGAGGGTTTGCTTGTAACCTGAGGCAGGGAGGTGGAGATGTGGGATGCCAGGTGCAGGCTTCTCCTGGGAGGTGCTTACGCTGGGTAAGTTCCTTGCCTGCCGATCCCCTGCACGCTGCTCAAAGTAGCTAGTTCTTGGAGCTGACCCACGCAGTTTCCTGCAGCTCCCCTTGGCGGGAAATGGTGATCCATAGCCAATGGGAGATGTGACGCTGCGTGTCAATGGATGCTAAGCGTCTTGAAGCCCACTGGCAGCTTATTTGGGCAGGCCCACAACCCATCTTTGAAAACCCTTGGCTTAGGGGGATAAGAGTCTTCACCTGTTCTTCCATTTCCCGCAGAACTGATTCTTGCAATTCACACTTGCACTATTTTCTGGCCTTTTTAATTAAAGAGATCTGTTCGGGTGGGGGCGTGGGATTTTTTTGTACATTAGTCCAGTTTTGCTATTCCTAAATCCATAATGGTATTTTGAAAAGCACTCATTTGGGGCATGTGCTGTAAGTGGAATCCATTGTGTTCTAAAGCCTTGTTAATAAACTACAGGCAGTCCCCAGGTTACATGGATCCGACTTACATCGGATCCCTACTTACAAACGGGGTGAGGCAACCCCACACTAGCTGCTTCCCCCCAGCAGACCAGGGAGACGCGAAGCTAGCGCCCCCCCCCTCCCCCCCCGCCGCAGACCAGGGAGATGCGGAGCGGCTTTTCTCAGCAGACACCTCAGCTTGAGAATAAAGGACTGAGGGAAGTGAGGTGAGAGAATAAAACTGAGCTCTGGAGAAATGTTTGGCTAGAGTTTCCCCTACAATATGTACCAATTCCGACTTACTTACAAATTCAACTTAAGAACAAACCTACAGTCCCTATCTTGTACGTAACCCGAGGACTGCCTGTATGGAGTTTCTGCATCCCATATTCCCTGACATGGACTAATACCAGGCTTGTAGGAACACCGTTTGTTTTGTTTACAGGTCATATGCTGTTGTGACATTGTAGCTTGTTTTTTTTTTTTAACATTTACCATGCTGTCAGTATCTTTTAAAGCTTAGGACTGGAATTTGGTAGAAATGAATTAGTTTACTATTACTTTTCTGCTATGATGTATCTGCTTATGGTGAGAGGTTTTGGCTAGGCAGTAACTGATGACAGTATTCCATTAGAGGACGCTTTAAAAAACTTTTACATTTGCACATTGCTGACACACACACAAATCTGATGATATATCTGAAAGTATGGGTCTCTGGGGATGAATAAATGGAAGTTAGTTTGAGTTGTCCATTGGCCAAAATTCTAGCCATAATATGCATGATAAAAACAAGTGTACTGAGCTCTGATTTTGTATTTGTAAAGTATACCTATCAACAAACTCTTTGCAAACAGCTTACATTTTTTCATCTGAGTATCTTGCATTTCCTGAATGTGAAACTTGTTTTAAGAGTCTGCATTAGCTGGTTGGCACTTTGCTTTATGAATTTGCATTATCTTTTCATGCCTTTCGTTCCAGTCTGATTACAAGTTTAGTGCTATGTAAGTGAAAAATCAGATATTCTTTTTTTCAATCAGAGCCCATAAAATATATTCAGTGGCTCTAGTAACTATCCTAATTTTTTTTTCATTAAAGTCTTTAAGCATATTTTAAATATCTTTTTTCTCATGCAGTTTTGCCTTCACGTACAAGTAATGGAACACCGGCTTTTGATGTAAAAAAAAGTATAAATTTAGATAAAAGACTTTGCCAGTATAATACTCCATTCTTCATGTATTCTGTACACTTAAGTATCATGGTTTATGCAAAGACTTCCAGGTGACATTTACTAAACCAAAGGTGATTAGGTGAGCCTTTGTATATGTAACCCTTTGATTTTGGGTAGTTTTGGTCTAAACTCTGTGGGAAAGCCCTTTGTTTTTTTTAAAGCTTTTGTTATGCAAATTAGAAATTTCTGAGACCGCTTTAAAGTGAATCCCAAATCTGAAGTATTAATTGAATTAAATATGAAAAGGAGCAATGGAATCACAGCAGAGTTACTTACTGGTGGCTTTTATATTAAGTTTTCTATTGTGTCTAGAGTGATGCTAACAGAAATGCAGTGCTGTAGGTGAGAGGTAATCTGAGGAGGAAGTCATGGGAGAGAACAGTTTTGCATCAGGAGTCAGTTAATCTTTTAGTGCTGAGGATGATATGCATCTTCCCTTTTCTTTCCATTTGTGTGTTCAGCCTTGTGATTTTTTGGTGAGAAGAAGTTTTAAAGGAATTTTAGCTCAACAATTTCTCTGTATGATCCAGGGTCATTCATTGTTTGTGGATATGTTTGGTAGCTGATTATTTCTTCTTAACCATTAGGAGGTAAATAGTTAAAGTTTAATTGTAACAGGAATACCAACATTAAGTTTGGATTCCATTAAAATTAATGGGAGCAGTTCATAGACTGAGAACTACAGTAAAACTCCGATGGTTCGGCATCTGATGGTCCGGCACCATTAGGAACCCGGAAGTGCTCCGGGCAGCCGGACCATTGGAGCTGCTCTGCCCCCAGCTGCCCGCTTC